TAATTCCCATAGAGATCTAATATGGTAAGTGTCTGTATGAAAAAGTGCAGATGCATACAAGAAATAGATAAAGAAGAGAATTATATTTACCGTATTATTTAGTAATCCATCTGCTAGATGTTGTACTCCACCATCTCCGACTTCATTCCATTTGAGATCTAATGTCGTAAGTGTCTGCATGATAGAGTGCAAATGGATGTATGAGATAGATGTAGACGAAAATGATAGTTACTTTATTATTTCGTAATACATCTGCTAGATATTGTGCTCCAACAGCTCCAATATGATTGGTATTGATATTTAATGTCGTGAGTGCCTGCATGAAAAAGTGCAAATAGATGTAGAAGATAGCTGAGGAAGAGAATTATAGTTACTGTATTATCGCGTAATACATCGGCTAGATACTGTGCTCCAGCATCTCGGATTTGATTACATCGCAGATCTAATATGGTAAGTGTCTGTATGAAAGAGAACACATGGATGTATGAGTTAGATGTAGACGAGAATGATAGTTACCTTATTATTTTTTAATCCACCGGCTAGGTACTGTGCTCCAACAGCTAGGATTTTATTGTTCGAGAGATTCAATGTGGTGAGTGTCTGTATGAAAGAGTGCAAATGGATATATGCGATGACTGAGGGAGAAAATGCTATTTACCGTATTATTTCGTAATACATCTGCTAGATACTGTGCTCCAACAGGTCCGATATGATTGACATTGATATCTAATGTAGTGAGTGTCTGCATGAAAAAGTGCAAATAGATGTGGAAGATAGCTGAGAAAGAGAATGATGGTTACTGTATTATTTTGTAATACATCTGCTAGATAGTGTGCTCCAACATCTCCGATTTGATTGTTCGATAGATTCAATGTGGTCAGTGTCTGTATGGAAGAGTGTAAATGGATTTATGAGATACCTGAGGAGGAGAATTATAGTTACCGTATTATTTCGTAATACATCTGCTAGATGGGTTGCTCCGATATCTCCGGTTTTATTCCATGGTATATGTAATGTGGTAAGTGTCTGTATAAAATAGTACAGGTGAGCATATCGAATAGTTAAAGGGGGACGGAGAATTACTGTATTATTTTCATAACACGTTAGTCAAATCTTTCGAAGAAACATGAGGATGAAAAAGTGCGGTTTTTCTTATTTTGCAGGATGTGGGTGGGATATTTACTCTTTCTATTCAATTCACACCCACACGCATGCAATCAAGAAATGAAAAAAACTAGCAGTCTGCAATATAATATTAGATCTCCTGCGACTGCAAAACTTATCAGATCAAAATTGGCTGATAGATTTCGCCTAAAATTTGTGTGAAATTTTCCGTCTCTGTTAAAAAGTCACTCCGAGCGCAAAAGATATGTGAATAATAGTCCAAATATACGGGTAAATGTAAATCCTTCTTTCCTTTTTTTTGTAAATATTACACGTGGCTGAATGAAAATGAAGTGAGAGCAGTGATTATTTTTATGCATGTTTTCATATTTCTTTCACATTGGTTTGGTACTATATATGAATTGTTTAAAGAGATTAATACTTGACGAATTAGTATGCCTCATCATCATTCTATTCACTCATATCATCCTAGATTTATGGACTGGAAGAACGAGAAATAATTCGAAGGTAGAAGAAAGATAGACAATCATGGTTAGAAAAGATTTACCTGATATCGATAGTAACTGTCGACGATTGTATTAAACCGTTGACACACATTTCGCATTGAGAACAGCATTGTAAAATCATTCTGAAAATCTAGAATTCGGTAGACCAGTTCTACTGGTAATGTAAAAAAAGTAGCAGGCATTTTATTCGACATTAGTTAAAATTACTGCGATAGCCTTGTGTAACGTTTTATATTGGTGAAATAAAGTATGTTGTTGCTGTGCCTCTTTCGTTTTATGTGAGTTTATATTTGTAACGTGTCATAGATGTCTTATAGTGCTGAAATTACTTGTATGAAGAAAGAAAATGCAAAAGAATGATGATAAAAGCTGTATTCAGATAAGAAATAGCATCTGTTTATTTGATGATTCAAGTTTAGTGATAAACGAATATACAACAGAGACGACTATTTTGTTCTTAACCGGATTGGTCAGAGTCCGAATGAAAGCAAATCAACAGTTTCTTTCATAAGATCATCTTAAGGATGTAGGTGTGGGTACTCTGTTCATCTCTCATCCATACCCTAAAGACAGTTCGACAGACGCATCTTGAAACAAAACAAAAAACATAATAAATAGAGATCTGTAGAAGCCCCAAAAACTCACTCCATTGCCGTTGAATTCAATATTAGAAATTCACGCCCGATAAAGTTTTTCTGATTCACACATCAGTAACTTTATTGTTCATATTAATAAAAAATGAAAGAGAACACTTATCACATAGATCTTTAGAGAAGCTAAAGAGAGAAACATGAGTTAATTGTGTTTTCATATGATATTTGAAAGGCGGATAGATGAGGACGTTAAAATAGTGTTGTAGCAGAGGTCCAAACAGGCCTAGTTTTGGTGGACCTGGTCGTCCTACCACAGGCTTTCGACCCCTCCAACATGCCTGCGCCTGCCATACGCTCACTTCAGCCTGGCCTGCCTGTCCATATTTTTATACAATAATAATATATTATAATCAAACAAAAGGAAGAGAAAATCAATAGTAATAAAGTTTGATCATCAATTTTTGATGTCAAATTCATGCAAATAAATATGAACTAGATAAATTTAATATTTATTCATCTAATGTATCATTTTTAAGTGAAGAACAAGCACTATGTTCTAGGAAGAAAAGTGAAATTCTTATTATAAAATAGCAAGAACATGATAGACAGGTGTAATACAATTCTTGAATTAATCTTTATACATATTGCGAAAAAGTTACACAGAAAAAAGGCTTTGTAATAAGACTTCGATGTAAGTTTATCAGTCAAAATCATGATTATCGTAGAGCACGGTATCGGTATTGTTCACTAGACCTTGTTCATTGTAAGTGCTTGAGAGATGACGTTGGGTTGTATGCACAAGTGGAGGATTAAGAGCAACATCAAAAATACTGTTACTTCGTGGACGAGGCGATTCATCAGTTGTTAAATGTATATGTTCATTTTTTTGAAATAGATCAACGATGTTGTCTATGCACATCTCAAGGTCAATCTTCTGGTCACTGAATGTGTTAAGTAAAATCTTCAATTGTTGCCGTTGTTGCTCCGTCATATTAACGATTGGTATGAAGAATTGAATTACACGACATTCTATTAAATACTAAAATTTTGAAAGAGATTAGAATCTATGTTTTTTTCTTCGTTAATCTTTATGATTTGTTAGAACAGATTGAAGATTAACGATGTTATTAGTCACGTTTTCGTTGTTCTTTAGATTTTAGTTAAAGGTTATTCTTCACTAAATTTTTGCCAACTTCGTCATTGTTATTTTATTTCTGATTAATAGAGAGACTAACAATCCTTATTATTTTTTTTGCAATTTATTGTATCTGTTTAAAGTACATTGAGAGTGTGCATGAGTGTGGATGGGGAAGTGATTATCGTTCTAACGCACATCCACACCCTTAAGGTTTCAAAACGCCTTCCTTCCTTTCGATATTTGATAAACGTTGTTATATCAAAGACAATCGATTATATATATTTTAAAATATAATAAAATTTGAAAATTCCTTTCAAACTTCTTCTTTCTGTATTGAATCATGAAGAAATCTTGTTCCTCTGTACACTATAGATATCATAGATTTAGGAAGATAACCATCCACACCTACACGCTCGTACTCATACGACGTAGAGAATAATTATGAACAAATCCTTTTCTTCACACAACCCAAAAAATTACCAGTTACAGAATCCAAATTTCAATTTCTATCTGTCAAAATTTGTACACAGATTGACTTCGATGTTTCTTTCATCATACAATATCCTGCGTTCTTCCTTTGGTTCGATGTAATTAGTATCAATGGTAGATTCAGTCAGAATGGTTATCATTTATTTCAAACGATCGAAACAATTACATACGGGACTAGGATACCTTCAACACATGAACAAGTTCTTCAATAATTAACATTTCAAACACTTTATGATATAATGAATGTCGTTTAAAACATAACAACCTTGATTTTTCTATTAACAAGTTTCATTTCAATCGATATTGTCTGATATACAATATATCTGATTAATGTTATTTTGAATTAAATAATGAGATGAGTTGAACAAGCTGCAACGTATCTTGATGAAAGCCTCATCAAAAGATACAATGATCCTCTTGCCTTCAGATAAGGGTGTCGACATGGTTGTTACATTCTTCTTACAATCTCACACCGACCCATCTCTTATTTTATCCGAAGAAATTAAATCACATGTGAGAACAGAAAGAATAAACAAAACTATTTAACAAAGAAACAAAAACAAATGTTGAATCAATAGTTCTCTCCTCGTTCAATTTGTATCTATTAGAGTTTCTTTGACTTAGATTTGAGATTCGACGAAGTTCTGAGAGAGTATTATTGAATTTTCATATGTTTGGCTGATGAACCTTAGACTTGTACTAAATAAAAATCCTCAATAAACTAAATTGCAAAAACAATCTTTCAATACTTGGAGAGTTTAGATAGTTCTGTGGCTGCAAGGAACGACTTCCTTTTTCTTCACAGATGAACAAACAATGCTAAAATTCAGCTTTCACAAGATGTTGAATTAAGATTTTGAAATTACCGTGAATAGAAACAAAAGAGAGAACTGAGCCGAATAATATAGTATTTATTGAATAGATTAGTTAATGAATTTTAGAGATTTCAAACTTTGGTTTTTTTTTAGTATTTTTTTAGTATTTTTGAATAGATAATGAAAAATGGTGAAAAAGATAAAGATAAAGACAATAAAAGATTGCTATTTTTACTGCAACTGCACAATTTGCAATGTACTACTTTATCTTAGGGAATGATGATGATGGTAGCTGCTCAATTTATTTAATGTTAATTAGTTCTGTATCCCAACGTTAACAAATCCCAGGTAAGTGAATTATATCAGCACCTGCAAAAGATATAGCTGCTCGAGCATAGACACGGCCGGTTATATTGGCGGTTGCACCGACAGTGATTGAGGCTTGAGCAAGTATATGTCCCATGAAGGAGCTGTTTGCTCCTAACGTTGCGCTGCTTCCTACTTGCCAAAAAATATTATTGCTTTGTGCACTTTTGCTAAGAATAATGTTTGTATGCGCAGAAGTAATGAGCGTAGTAGCCATTAGAAAGATGAACTGTGCAGTGGAGTCTCCCTGAGCATCGAGAGTGAGTGTTCCAGTCTTCAGTGTAAAAACACCTGAGCTAGTGCAGTAGACACCTGGAGACAGAGTCATACCTGATAAATCCGGGTTAACCAGTGTGTGGGTACACGTAAGAGCTTTGAGGTGTCCATAAGCGATCAGTTCGTCGGCTGCACAGTTTACCGCTACTTGTGTGTTCGCTTCCTTCTTGTAGTTCACACCTAACAATGGGATACCAGCAATGATCACGCCAGGAGCGACACCCACATGGCCACAGACCACATGAGTTCCCACTCCATTGAAGGAAAGGGCAGTGCCAGCTTGAATAGTAAAATTAGCACAACGACCGAAAATAGTTGTACCGGTCACGTATTGAGTAGCCGCATCAGAGCTGCAGACAATAAAGGCAATAACAACAGCCATTAGTGAAGCACGAATAAGTGAGATGAAAGACATCATTGAAATGAGACAGAAGTTTATGTGTGCCTGTATGCCTTCCGAACATCATTATATATAGAAGGGAGGAGGGCGATGATTATTAACGAACGGAGGACGTGGCAGATAAATTAAAAGAAAGTGGTTCGACGAGCTGGTACTTGATACAAGAGAGAGAAAACTGAGTATTGTATATGCTTTTCTTGCCAATGTATTATTATAATTTGGTATAAATAAGAATAATTACCAGTGTACTGCGCAATTCAGTTCGATGAGTTGGTATTTGATACAAAAGAATAAAGAAAACTGACTATTTTCTGTACTTTTCATGCCATCGTACCGATTTAACTCAATATAAATAAAAGTACTTTTTAGTGTCCTGCGCAATTCAATTCGATGAGCTGGTACTTGATACGAGAGAAAAAATAAAACTGAGTATTTTCTGTACTTTTCTTGCCAATGTACTATTTTAATTCGGTATAAATAAGAATAATTACCAGTGTACTGCGCAATTCAATTCGACGAGTTGCTACTCAAGAAAAAAGAAAAAAGAAAACTGAGTTTTTCTTGCCACTGTACCAACATATTATTATAATTCATATATTATATATAAGAAACACAAGGCCAAAGCATATAAAAGAAAGTTGCCATACTGAATTGAATGAATCAGTTAATTAGCGAAATATATCTTGAATAAGGATTTACCAGAATTATGTTGAATATTTGTTCATTTTCGGCATTTTCTCTTCAAACATTTAGTCACATAATTAGAAAGTAGTATTAACTAATTTATGATTGATGGTGTCATAAATCACAGACGCTGACGACATCTAGAAGTTTATGGATGTGAGTTTAGACACTATCATAACCTTCGCCTACCCCCATACCCACCCACTCTCAAGATTTTTTAATGATCATCTTCTTAAGAAATATTCAAATAACAATTCTATTGAAAACCATCAAATTTCAAAGAAAATCAAATTTATCTATTGTACGAGTATTGCATAAATCTTAAATTTTCAGTTTTTTAATTAATTAACAACACTATTTGGAATTTAGAAAAAAATAACGAAAAAAAGCATTAAAAATTGATAAGATATATTTTTCTTTCGAAATATTTTGTTAAATTACCAAATAAAAGATATTGTTAATGAGTGATATAAACGTATTTATTTAGTCATATTAATCTAGTTTTATTATAATGAAAAGTGTTGTTGCAAACCACAAGTCATATTCAAAAGAATTATTGGAAATTGCTTTATAATATTCTTGCATAAAATAAATTGACAATAGTTCTATTGAAAATGACTCCTAATGAGAGTTGAAAGCTCTACGTTTTCAAATAATATTGCAACAAATACTCTCGTTTATTCTCATTTAATTAAAAATCAATATTTTTATCTATTTTCTTATTATTTTATTTCACTTTTTAATAATCTTTCGTGAATATATTATATCAACAAAGAAACTATCGATATTGATTTTCTTCGCTACACCATAATCCACTCAACAACATTGAAATGATTAATTGTTTTCTATAACATATATCATCTTATGTCTGACATAGTAGATAATACTAAAAAAAAAGAAAATAAGTATCCTGATAGTACCTCTTATCATTTCGAAGGTTTTTTTATTCAAGAACTACATATATTATTCATTTTTATTGTCGTAAATCATCGAATATATTATATAAAATATCAAGTATTTTTTTGAAGTAAATTTTCGCTTTGATAAACTAATTAAATAATATAAAATCTCTATCAGAGCGTTCTATTTCGTATATAATATTTATTAGAAAAAAAAATTCAAATAACGGGAACAGAGTTATGACATACTGATGTACCTTTTTCAAAATAAATATATTCTTTTTATTTTTCTTGTCTTATTCATAGGCACTTTTCTAATGGTACTCGAAAAATACATATAATAGTTCGATCAATTATAATTGTTGACAATAGTCGTCATCCATTTTTTCTTATTCATCATATATACTTAAAAAAATAAATTCT